TCTAATAGTCTGTAGACTGCTGTGGTGGAACTGATCTTTATGTTAAATCCACGATTGTTCTGGGAAGAATAGAAGCTGTTGGTGCTGCATTTTGTCCACATGTGTCTACTTCACGTAGATCCACCCCCGGTCTCGTGGTGGGGGGGGGCAGAGGTGGGGGGGTGGATGACGGTTATGGTGAACCACAATGCCAGTCAGTCTGTGGGTTCTAATGTTTATTTTATTTTTTTCCTGTAATAATTCAATCATACAGCAACGTCTGTCTGTCCTTCAGTGTTCCCAGGGCCGTCACCTGCACCTTATGTTGAGACACGTCAGGTCCTGTAGATGCTTCAGGAGTGAATATCACTGATATAACAAAAAAAAAAAACTTTTACTAATTTAAATGATGGTGATAATCTTTCTGTCTGTAGCTTCATGTTACTGGTAGCTTCATGTTACTGGTTACTGGTACTGGGTACTGGTTAATGGTACTGGTTACTGGTTAATGTTACTGGTTAATGGTACTGGGTACTGGTTAATGGTACTGGTTACTGTTACTGGTACTGTTAGAATCACAGTGTGGTTTAGCTGAATGGACCAGGCTGCAGCCTCGGTGCCACTGTCTGTGGACCTGTCAGTCTGAACACAGTGTTCTGTTGTGACATCAGGGGGCGGAGCTAAAGCCTGGATGCTGTCTGTCCATCACAGGGTCCATCAACCTGGGGGGCGGGGGAGGCTGTCGGCCGGTGTCAGAGGAAGTTTGTTCTGGGGGAAAAAAAAGTCCCAAGTTTGAATGATGACTTTGACCTTTTCTACACTTGAATTAAAGTCATTCTTATTTCAGTTCTTCGACCTTGAGTCTGTGTCGACAGGTGGAGGTCAGAACAGAAAGGAACTCGTTCCACTTCCTGTTTCTCTTCTTCTGTTGTTGTTGTTGTTGTTGTTGTGTCATATGTGGACAGTGAACCAGGTCAACCAGAGCAGAGCAGTTGGCCTTTAATCAGAGCAGATCAGTGGTGATGTCCAGAGTTTCAGACCTGGCGACGCTGACGTCGAGGTTCTTTGTTTTTGTTCAGCAG